TCGCATGTCTGCGTTGTTTTTTGATTATAAAAAAAGTTTTATCAGACAAATTAAAAATTCATCCATAGAAAATGTAGAGAAAATAATTGCGGTTTTTTTTGAGCTATAGAACTCCTAGAAATGTCAAAAACTGAAAGAGGAGATAGATTTTTTCTGTAAAAAACTTTCAAAAATGACCATTTTTGACATTTTTTCTTCCGGAAAAGGACCATACATGAATCTATAAACACTAATTAATTTTTTAAGAATCATTTGAATCATCTTGGAACTCCACAAAATCAGATAAAAGAATTCTGAAATTATGGTTTTAGACCTGCAATTGTGATCGCGCCAAACTTTTTTTCTGTAGATCAAAAATTAATTTGCAGTTCGGAAATGTTCTGTGGGAGAGCTTGGTTAGTAAAATTTAGATTTTCAGTTTCGATTTTTCTGTTATATTTTTAAAAATTACACACGAAAAAAAAATTTTGCTGTCTCGTCTCCTTTAAGTCTCTCAACATTTTTTTTGAAAGTTCAAAAACTACTCTTTCAACAATTTTGAGGTCAAATTCCTTTTGCAATTCGAGAGTTTTTCGAAAGGTCGCTACTGAAATTAGAGTAACTTATCATGATTTTTTTAGGTCACCAAATTTTTATGGCTTAAAAATGGTCCAACATGCACCTGGTGTGTTTTCTAGGCCATTTACAATGGTGGCTTAATTTTTGCAAGTTTGATTCTCTAGGCCACCAGCTTTTATGGCCTAGAAATTATCTAATATTCAATTAGTGGTTTTCTAGGCCGTTCATCATGATGACCTTGAAAACTCAACTTGCAAAAGTTAGGTCATCATGTTGAATGACCTAGAAAATACATCGAAGGAATATCTGGTCATTTCTAAGCCATAAAACTAGGTGGCCTAGAAAGAAAAAACTCTCCTCGCAAAAATTAGGCCATATTATATACATGGCCTAGAAAACGTGTTAATGTGACATCATTGGTTTTCCAAAAATTTTGTATCGAAAAAATCAATGTTTCAGTTTTTGGAGAAATTTCGCAAAACTGCAACTTTTTGCTTCTTCCGGTTTTCAATTTGCCTTTTCTGATAGAACACATTTTGAAATTCGAAAAAATTCAAAAATTAATTTTTTCAAAAAATTTTCATTGGCTTTTTGGTTTTTCAGAATGTGTTCTATCCGAAAAACATATTTGAAAACCCTAAAATAGTTTTTTTTTCACCAAACTTCTAATTTCTGACAGAAACGAAGAATCGGGCGAAATTCTAAAAAAAATTTGAAGGTTGTCCAAGAAAGCTCTGCCCAAACCACTGCGAAATCGTCGAAATCCACTCAATCTCTCTATCGTAAACACGTTCAAAAGTTGGCCATTGAGCCATTGGACGATATTCGTTACTTGTAAGTCCTTCTTTTTTTTTCAAAAATTTTTGAAATTTGACCTTTAACTTTGAGCCAATTATTCTCAGTTCCTGTAAAAGATATCAAAAAATGGCCAACTGATAAAATGTTAACCATAAAATTTTCTATATTTTGTTAGTTAACCACCACTTTTTGATACCTTTTACTGGAACCGAGGAAAATTAGTTCAAAGTTTAGGGACGAGGTGCAACTCTATTAGAGATTTCATGGAATTTTCAAAATTTGAAATTCAGGAAATGCCGCGGAAACAAGAAACCCAAACCGGATTCTCTGTTCCCATCTGCTACTTATTCAGCTGGAAATCAGCCGAAAATGGAGGTAACTTTTTCAAAAAAAAAACAGAGTCCATTTGAATTTCCAAATATTCAGATGTCTCCTGTCTCCTCTGCCATCGAGTCATCTGTCGTCGCAACAGCTGATGGGACGACAACGACAACTGGGGAATGTTCGTTGCTTTTCAAACCCATGGAATTTGTTTCCACTTCTTGTCCACCGGTTAGAGTGAGTTGCTTTTTTTGGAATTTGGAAAGTAACTCTTGAGTTTCGTTAGGTTTAAAAAAATTTGTAAACATTTTCTGTTTCATGGGGCTTTGATCTTGAACATTTGGAAAAAATGTTAATTCGATCGACGAAAGATTTCCAAAAAAAAATGTTTTTTCTAAAATTAAAAAACTTTTCAAATCTGAATTTCCTGAAAAATTCTAACTTTCACAAAGAAATTTTGAAAAAAAATGTTAATGTTTCAGAAAGTTTATTTTTGACCATTTTTAAAAATGAAAATCAATGTATTGGTAGAAAGCCGACTTTGTTAGCATTTTCATGAGAATATAAAATTCCATACTTGTAACGGGCCGGGCCGGGCCGGGCTTTTTCCAGAATTTCGGATGCCCGACGGGCACGTCATTTCACTAGTTTCGAAATTTTCAAAAAACACATAAGGGACCCTTATGTGTTCCCTGAATTTCGGAGATTCTGATTCACGAAATTTTATTATTTTTTTTTCGAAAATGCGAAATTTCTAACCATTCCTATGCTTCAAACATTTTGGTTTCGCTCTGAAATTCTAAAATTCTAATTCAGAAATTCGGAAAATTGGAAAAACGGGAACTCGAAAATACCGAGATTTGAAACTTCGGAAATTTTGAAGTTTGAAAATCAGAGAATTCAAATGTCCAATGTTTCGGAAATCCAGAAGTATAAAAATTTAGATATTCGGAATATTTTGAAAAATTTGAAAAATTTGAAAGTTAGAACACTCGAAATTTTGAAAATCCAAAATCTCGAAAGCACAAAACCAGAAAAACCAGAAACTCAGAAGTTCAGAATATCAGAAAGCCCAAGTTCGGAATTTAGAAAATTCGGAAATTCATAAACTTTGTGAATCAAAAATTCAGGAATGTGTTTTAGAGAAAATTCTGAAAATCTGATTCGTGTTAAAATTTTCAATTTTGGGAATTTGTGAAGTAGAATCTCAGAAAGTCGGAAATACGGAAACTCGAAAATACGAAATTTCAGAAATTATGAGTTTTGAAATGAAGTATTTTAATAGAAAAATCTTTGAGTTCTAGAATCGCAGTTCCGAAAATTCAGGACTCCTGAATTTCGAAACTTCTGAAAAAATTATAAGTTGTCGAATTTCAAGATATTCGGAAATTCAGATAAATTATTAGTTCTAAAAATTTGGAAATTTTGAACAGTTCGTGTATCAACTAAGACACATTTCCGATCTACATTTCTGATTTATCTGTCCAAGCCCAAACACAATCGGTTAAGGGTGTTGTAAGCGGGAGACAGAAGGTTTAACCCCGAAGGCGCATAAGCAGACTGTCACTCCAGTTTATGAAAGTTGACGACACAATCAACTAAAACTTCGTCTTCTGATTCTCTCCGATTCGGAGATTCAAACATTTTTAGTGAAGCCAGGAGATTGTAGCCGCCGACAGGCGGCGGAAATCGACTGGTTTCCAAAAAATCGAATTTCTCATTTTTGGTTATTTACCAGAAGTTTGAAATTTCGAAATGTTCATTGTCGAAAGATTGGTTTTCAAAGAAAAGATTTCAGTATAAAAATGCTTCGAAACAGTAAAATTTTATGAAAAAATACATTGTTTTTTAAAACCTGAAAATTTCAAATTTTTCGGAAAAAATGTCTATTTCCAGATGCTCCTCCAACCTCTCGAGAAGAAGCAAAAATCGATGAAAACCGTGTCAAAGACTCTCGTCAAAAAAGCGGAAACCGAAGAATTTCCAATTGTCCCAAAACAGCTTCAATCGAGTACCAAACTCAAAACTTCGGACCAAAAAATGGACCGTACCAAATTTTCGGCTCAATTCAATCTCGGACGCCAGACTTTTAATTTGTCGGGAATTTTGAATGGACCATTGACGAAGAAGCCAAATGTCTCCACTTTGGTTATTAATGGGAACTCGTATTCGGTTTAGAACTAAAATAAGATTTTGTATTTTTTAAGGTGAAAAATCTGGATTTTCGGGTTTTTGAAGCTTTTTGGTAATAAAGAATTTGAGATGGGAAATTGTTGGTTTTTGAGTTTTTTTCTTGAAATTTTTTGAATTTTCCTGAAAGGTTGGTTTTTTTTAAATTTTCAGAGAAATTTCGATTTTCAGAAAAATTTAAATTTTGGTAAAACCTCGATTTTTCTGAAATTTTTTCCAGAATTTTCAGTTTTTTTCTTAATTTTGACTCGAGTTTTTTAATTGAAAAAATTTTTACAAGGGAGTTACTCGAGGGAGCAGGTTTAACTTTTTTTTGAAATTTTGGGAACAGATAGAAGAGCTTATGAGGATTCCAAATCTGTTAAAAAAAATCAGCAAAATGCTCACGTGAGCTGAGTTATGACCTAGAAAAGTTTCCCTATGATTAAGCAATTTCTCGTGAAATTTTTTTTACGGAATAGTGTGTTTCTTTTAAAACAATAGATTTCAATTAGCAGTGTGGTAAAGTGGTAAAATGGCAAGTTCAGAGGAGGAAGGTTGTAGGTTCGATTCTCCCGATCCCAAAAATTTTGCAAAACTTTTTTTGTTTTATTTTAAGCTGCCATAACTGGCTCTGGAATAAAATTCACGCAATTTAAACATTTTTTTCGGGAGTTTCTCGTTATGAATAGGCATTTTCCAGAATAAAAACAGACATTTAATTTTTGAAGAAATTCACAAATATGCTCCTGGGTTCATCGAAGATTTTTCAATTCAAGAAATTCACAAATATGCTCATGGGTTCATCGAAGATTTTTCAAAATTTTTTTTTGAAATTTTTTTGTTTTTTTTTCTTTTTTTGGTGACCTCAAGCATGTCATAATAGTTGGATGAGTTGGCTTCGGCTCAAAACCCCTATAAAAGAAGTTATCTGGTCCTCACTGAACCATTAATCATGACAACAACCTTGCTCATCCTCCTACATGTCCTTGCCGTTTTTAAACAAGAAGCCGAAGAAGCCAAAACTGGAAAGGACGGATCAGAAACTGGCGGACAGAATCATCTCAAATTGTTTTTTTATAAATTAGAAATTTCTTTTTTTTTCTGAAATTTTTGACTTTTTTTTTGAATTTCAGGTTTTTTTATTTTCACAACATCTCAATTTGTGTTGAAAATTTGATTCAAATTTCCAAAAATTTCTGGAAAAATTTCAGGATTTTTCAAAAATTACTTCAGAAATTCCACTTTGCTGAAATTTTGATTTTTAATGTTTCAATTTTTTTTTAATTTCTGAAACTTTTGTGATTCAGAATTTGAGATTCTTTTGAGTTTGGAAATTTCAAGGTCCCTAATTTTTCAAAAAAAAAACATTTAACAGATTTATTTGTATGATTTGAAAGAAGAAGAAAGTCAACACACAACAACACACATTGTATATAGTATTTTTCAAATTGGAACGTTTTTTATCGGAGTTCCAAAACGTCACAGTTCTAGAACGGCCATGCAAAAAATCGTTTCCAATTCGTGGTCAAAAAGAATTTCTAAAAACAATGAAACTAACAATAAAATGAAAAAAATTCAACGGGGAGGCAGGTTAAAAATTGTGAGGCGCAAAAAATTGTATAACAAAAAATGAGCCAATTTTAGGAAAAGGTCTAAAAATGGCTGGAAAAAAATGGAACAGATCAGATTGGAGAAAGCTAGAATGGGTGGGGGAAATCAGAAGATCAGAAGACGTGGGGGGAGGATTCTGAAGATGTCAAATTTAGGAATCTCCCTCTGGACTCTGCTGACGGCGATTCTGACGGCGGAGTGCTGGATTCAGCACTGTCGTGCTGACACTGTTGATCTCTTCCTCTTCGGATCTGAAAATCAGGAAATTAAGATGAGCAATCAGAGGGGATTCAAGAACTGGTCAAATGGAAGATGGCCTAACTTGCAAGCTGAGTTATCTAGGCCATCATAGTGAACGGCCTAGAAATCGCTAAATTTTCACCTGGACGGCTTTCTAAGCCATTTTAACGTGGTGGCCTAGAAAAACCCAACATGCAAAAGTTAGGCCACCATGGCAAAATGACCTAACATAACCCTGGTGTACTTTCTAGGTCGTTTTTACGTGATGGCCTAACTTTTGCAAGTTGAGTTTTCTCGGCCATCATGGTAAAATGACCTAGAAAATTCACTGGGTGAATATCAGCTCAAAAATGACCCTGATGTGTTTTCTAGGCCGTTTTAACATGGTGGCCTAGAAAAACCGAATTTGCAAAAGTTAGGCCAGCATGTTGAAATGCCCTAAAAATAGCCTAACATGATCC